TTGGCATCAGGCTGTCCTTTCTTTCCATAAGCCCATTCTGGTTCAATCTCCAGTCGAGCCTTTTCTCCTTTACTCATAGTCAAGAGCGCTTCATCCCACTAGAGGCAAGAACAAAATGAAAACTAATAACAACTTTGCAAAAAGTACATGCAATACCTGAAAACTCAAGATTTTATTTTATATACATATATATAAAAAATATATATTTTACATATATATAAGCATTCTGTTACTGGATTTTACTATCTAAGGTAATGTCCTTGGATGAGTCCCTAAATCTTTGTCTTCAATAGTGGCAAGGTTAATGGAGACTTAGAAGAAAAAAATGAAATAGCAAGTACTCACTCTAAAACTGTTCTAAGATTACCAAATTATAATAGTGGAGTCATGATGGCACATAAAATAAAAAAAAAATGTTAGCACATTAAGATCTTTTGTAAAAAGTAAAACTAACTTTTCAGAGAAATGATAAAGGCTTCTGGGTTGCCGCTCCATTTTTCACAAATTTGGTTCTTAAAGCCAGTTGCCAAAAACAATTAAATCAACATGATACAAAGATAAAAGTATATTCCTAATATTATATACTCTGTTGAAACACAACAATCACATAAAGCTCAAAGGATATAGTTAGATCTGTCATATCTGGAAATTAAGAATATGGTGGATTAGGAGAAATTTACCAGTATGCAGATAAGTTAAAGAAATAGAAAAGTAGCACAACAGTTACACTCAACTAAACTTCAAAGTTTCAAGATGTTTTATATTCTGTTTTGGACTCTGGATATGATTGTTTGAACCCACAGTACAAAGAGTATTATACTGAGTGTTCTTATAACTGCATTTGAATAGGCATTTCAGCTATCAATATTTGATGTTCTGAGTAATCACAATTTTTTTTTATTTTAATTTTTTTTTTTAGAGACAGGGTCTCACTGTCACACAGGCTGGAGTGCAGTGTGCACGTGCAATCAAAGCTCACCGCAACCTTGAACTCCTGGGCTCAAGTGATCCTCCCAAATAGCTAGGATTATAGGTACATGCCTCCATGCCCAGCTGGCTGGTCTCAAACTCCTAGCCTCAAGCAATCCTCCCATGTCAGCCTCCCAAAGTGCTGGGATTATAGGCATGAGCCACTGAGGCTGGCCAGTAATACAATTTAAAACAAACAATGGGCAGGCCCTAACATGAAAACCTGATCCAGCAAAGCTGACAATCAGCCCTGCTATTTTATGTCCTTTTGTACACCATAATGGTAACTACAGCTCAAGCCTAACTTACCCTTTTCTGAAAAGTTTCCTTCTGTTATCTCTTACATGTAATAGTGGGTAAAAGCATGCTTATATTTGAAAGATTTTCTGGGGTTGGAGCCCAGGTGAGAGTTGAGAAGACTACAGAAACAAACTCCTACTTCTATGAATACTTTAGTGTAACAGATAATTTTACTTTTCCTGATTACATATAAGTGGGACAACAGCTATGTAACATTTTACAAGAATCGTGGGCCAAACATTCTGACAAAGAATTACTTTATGAAGAAAAAGAAGAAAAGGGGTAGACTGAAACTAATATATGAGTCCCTACTATATTAGGTGCTTTAAAAGTTATGCTCATTTAATCTTGTAAAGACCCTGAGGTAGGCAGTACTGTCCTCATTTTATAGATGGGGAAACTGTGCCAGATCACCTAGCAATGATAGCACCCAATCTGTCAGACTCCAGAGATTGTTCTCTTTTCATTACATCCCCAATCCTAATTTTTTACAACACCATACCACAAACGGCACATGCCAGAATATCTGTCGATTCACTGCCATTCTTTACTTACTCCTCTGATAACTTTGCCTACTCCAACCTTAAAACTTAAAGGCTTGGCATTTTTCTTCTTCTTCGAACCTGTAAAAGAGATTTTCCTTATAATTAGTGATACACTAATTTTTTATTAAGATACTAAGTTCCATTGGAAAAATATAGTTTAATTGATTTCAGAGTTATAATACTATGTATTTGAAAAGAAAGAAAAATTTAGAAAGCCAAGTAAATCATCAAGAAAATTCCAGATGTTAAAATAATTA